GCTGGGGAAACGTCGGTGCGCAGCCAACCAACTTTGTGGTGCTTTACTGGACGTGGTGACAGCGACGAAACCCCCCGCTCCCTTACCAGTACACTTACTGTGCCGCTTGAGACTCACCCTTCAGCCTATCGATATTTTACTCTTCGATGATTGGCCACATTACAAATTGTGTGAGTGACAAATAATCAACGACTGGCTCTCAATTCGTTTGGGCGATTGCTGCCGCTGCCTTTTCATCTGCTCGTACTCGCCTGGCCAGATTAAAGAGTGTTCTGTTAATCATCTCTTTCTGATTTTTGAATTTAAATACTTCTCGTTATCGTCTATCAAATTTCCGGAGATTGAGTTGAAATAATTTTTCGCTACGAATGGAAGCGAATATGCGAGCTCCAGGTGCTTGTAACATAGAAGACGAAGGCACGGTTACTAGGAAAGCGCTTATATTAGCCTGAGCTTTCGGATGCGTATAAGTTAATCAAGTGTCGTGTCGCGACTGCTCTTGTCATTATACAGGGTGGATCAGGCGACGACTTAGCTGGCAGATAACGGAGCATAAACGGGCAATGCGGAAAGACGACCCATTGCCTCAGATCACTACCCACACCCTGGAGGAAGGCTACGAATTCAATTTCACGGCCATACGGATAATGGCAGGAGTCAGTAAAAAGACGGAGCGAGAACTACTGGAGGCCTGGGTATCAGACTCCAACTCCATTGATAGACGCGTTGATATGCCGCCTTGTTATCATGCCCTCCGTTCGTGCAGCCAAGAAGCATGGCCCAGTTCCTGTCCAAGGACGCGCGCCACGACGCCAAGAATGCACGCAGAGAAGCTAAGGTGAGACGGCGTGGGTGTGGACTCATCCATTCCCGATCTCATGAAAAATTCGAGGAGAACGAGGGCGGGGTTGGGCGCAAGTGCCTGGCATGACGTAATCCTGTGCCTAGGCGTGATAATACAGCCCACAAGTGCCATATTTTTATGGGCGCGCGTCTCCATTAAAATCCACTGTACCCTGACCTAGTCACCGTTTTGGTCCACCGCACCTACCGCGTGGCCTGCTAAAGGGGAACACTAGTCCCTCCTACATGGAATGTAGACCTGTGGCAGTACGCGCTCAGTACTACTGCGCTGACTCATCTGGCCTTCGCTTGCCAAGTATTTGGTACTCGCGCGTGACAATGTCCCCCACACGCTCTTTTCCCA